GTACTTAAGGCGAGGATTTCCTCCCTTCACCGCATGCATATTTGTCCAGCACGAAGTAAGTGCTCATTATTATCGGAAAATAAAGGATATAAATAAAAATATAGCCGATGAAGAATTGAATTCAATAACATGCCTTTCATATTATCAAAAGATATTTTATATGTGTTTATCTCTCGGACGTCGGTTTTTACCGTCCACTACGTTGTATTTTTTTTATCTCAATCAATATAAAGTATTAAACAAAAACATTCGATTAAGAATTAAATCGAGTATTTCATATATTATTTTCCAAGTATTATATTATTTTACTAGGTATTAATTCTCGTTCGTCGAAATGATGCTTAAATACGATATTTTGTCCAACCTGGCCTTAAGTACAAAAAATAAATCAGGTAAGTGAAGTTGAATAGGATCCCGCCTTAGTGACAATCTGTGGGGTACCACAGCGGCCTTTAGAGCTGCCACTAGAGGCCTTTGTTATGCGGTGGACTTTTATAAGCTGCTATAGATGGATGGATGGATATTTTACGTGGTAGAGCCATGCTGCAGCTATAGGTACTATAGTAGTAACACTAATGGGTTGGCTCGACCGGGGAAGGACTACGCTTTCACAGAGTACCAGCGTAAAATAGCAGCTTAATGCTGCTGTGTCGCGTATGTTAAGTGTAGAAGACCATTTTTCCTTGGAAAAGAGCGATTGCTTCTTAGTCCTCAGTGGTGACAACTCATCTGAATTTTGATTCTTAATTAAGGATAGATGTAGATGTCTATGAGTCACAGCATCCACTTACAATCAGGTGGACTACGTACTCATTATCACCCTATTACTATATAAAAAGAATATTTATAACAACCTTCACAACATAACGCTGTTCGTCACTATTTAATCATAAGCCGTCAAACGAAACAAAATTTATTTTGCTGTAGTATACTCGTATATGCAACGTCAAGTATTGATTGGGTAGAAGCTACTTCAGAGTGCACAGGAGTTAATAGAATTTTAGATTACAATAAGGCTTTGTGTTTTACGTTTATGATAAACTTAAAACGCTTCATAATCTGTTATGCTAAATGATATATTACACTTATACAAATAATGTAGAATCTGTTATCAGATACGGGCTTTTAATGTGGGGTAATAGCACAGACTCTCAAAAAGTATTTTTAGCACAAAAACGCTGTATTAGAGCTATTAGTAACATCCCATCAGACACGTCATGCAAGCCTTACTTTAAGAGTTTAAACATACTTCCTTTTCCCTGCCTCTATATATTTGAGGCAGGCAAATATGTAATGCAAAATAAGCACTTATTCTTCTTACAAACTAAAGATGCAACAAAAATAAATTTACGGAACCCACATAAATTAGTACTTGACACAATTCCAAGAAGTAAGCACTTTCAAAAAATAGCTATGCAATGTGTAACACGATATATAATATATTATACCCTCACATATTAAGCAATTACCTTATAATAAGTTTAAAATGTCACTTCGACGATGGCTAGTAGATAAAGCATTTTATACAGTAAATGAGTTTTTGAATTGTAGTGACTAAGTAGTTTTATCGTTAGTTAAAAATCGATGCATTAATTAATTAATTAATATATATGAATTTATTTATTTATAAAGATTGTAAAATGACGTTTTAGTTTGTTTATATAGATGAAATTTAGTAATTGATTTTATTATAAAAACTTTTGAATATTTGCATGCTGTTGAAAACAGCTAAATAGGTTTTCTTAACACAATAACAGTAACATCAATAAGAAAAAATTTTGTACCTATTTAGTTGCAAATAAAGAATTAGAATTTGAATTTGAATGCTAAAAGCTGTGGCAAGTTACAGTCCAACAAAAACTGAATTTTTTTAGAGAAATTTCCTATTTTTGATTGACCCATTGGAAGTGATTGTAATGTATAGATGTTACAGCTATGTAGTTTTCTAGGAGGTGTATGTTCAACGGTGCGTTTCGTATGGACTGTTTGTTAACAATTATGATGATGACAATAATTTTTATGATAGAGTATTAAAAGAAATTTTGGTGTAAAGCCTATTTGAATTTTGAAAAGGAATTAGATGGAGTGCTAAAAATTTCGTACATACTAAAAACTAATAAATTATCAGATAATTTTTTACCCCAAACTACATTTTAAAAGTCCTGATCCTGAGGGGGATATATATGAGATTAGTATAATGGTATGTATTGTTTTAATTTATTAAATACGTATCAATAAAAAATGTCATCCGGCAGTGAGAAAAGAAAAATTTTTTTTGCATAACTAATTTTGAAAATAATGAAATCGATAGAAGACGTGATAAAAATAGAATCAGCTCATTTCGCGATTTGCCATTCACCCGCGCGCTGCGTACGCTCGACGGCGTGTCTAAGAAAACTGATCTTCAGGCTTTACTTCCGTAAATGATTTGAATTCTATTTCGTTTTTCATTCGAACTTGGTTTTGTTTTTAACTTAACTTTAGAAGCTTGGGAGTAAGCTTTGCTTTACTTTACATTTGATTGATTTTAAAAATTGACCAATTGTGAGAAAGTTTTATTGTTCCAACGGAATATTTTTCTTGACGTTTTTTATTGAGTAACCTATATACACTACTTCCACGTACTAGAGAAATCTTTCGCTAATAAAATATAGAAAACTCACCTCGATTTAGCACATAGTCTAGTTTAATAATTTTACCCTTACATTACTCTTATATTATGGGATATTTGGAATAAAGAATATTATGTCAAGCAATGGATCGGCTTGATCGGGGAAGGACAACTATCTTTCAGAATACCAGCATAAAATAGCAAGTTAATACTGCTGTGTTTTGTATGGTTAGTATAGAGAACGGCAGACCTCTTTTAGTGGTACCGAGACATTCTACCTTAGTTCTCAGGGGTGACACGACGTGTACATTTTAATTCTAAATAGAGAACAGTTGTAGATGTTTATAGGCTAGAGCATCCACTTACCATTAGACAGTTGTGGGTATAGCGATATAATATTCTGTTATTTTGTATTTAACATTGTCAAAAATTCTACAGAGTGTAATGTTTATAATAACACAAAGAGGCGGATGGAATAAAATATATGGGTTATTGTAACGCTAATTGCATTGTCATTTTTATTTAACTTGCAATGTATGTTAGTTAAGGTCGAATCTTGCAACTGAATTTTAAAGCAGTTATCCTTAACCGATTGAGCTGAATTTTTTATAACCATAATATTTTATTAACCAGATATTAGGGGAAGTTATACATTAATTCGGAAATACATATATTAGGAACAATTATTATTCTTATCTTAATGTAATTTATTTATATATTTGATTAATATATTTGATACGAGAAAAAAGATAACACAGCATATTTTGTATACACACTGACGTCATACATTTATTAAGAGAAATTGGGTCAACTAATCGCGTCCTTTGACCCAGAATCATCCGCAACGATATTCTGAATTTTACTTGTATTATGAAAAGATTTGGTTAGGAATTGGTAAAAATAAGAGTCTAAGAAAAAAAATGTGATAATACCATCCTTTTTGGGAGGATGCAATTTAAGTTAGCAGCCTTCCTTTTAAAAACACCAGTGTTGTTTGCGTTTGAGATGTGATTCCTATTTTAAGATTTAGTAACTAATTGGTTAATTTGCATATACTGAGATTGAAATATAACACTCCAACGGAACCGGAGCTATTCATGTGTTAGAGATGATTCTTAATCTCTGAAGGTTATAAGCTATGTCCACACTGTACCCTTTTTTGTTAACCCTTCAAGAGCATGCGTCACCGCGCAGTCAACAACGTACGGGAGGCGTGCCCTTGATGCATGTAGGGGAGACCGGGGCTACAATTAACAAAAATTGCATTTTTTGTTATAACTCCGAAATCATTCAACATTTAAATGTGATTTTTACGTCAAATGATGCTTTAACTATTTAGGTATCAGGTTATTACCATAACTCAAACATATTATAAGTGATGTCTATTGTAGATTTTTTTTTCTCAAAAAAGTCGTTGGTTAATTCTTACCCCGTCTTCGGGGCTAGAATTAACAGCTCTGGGGTAATTATTAACGTTATGTTATACCAACTAATATCAAAGAAAAACAAATATATATGTGAAATTACCTTTTATTAATAAAAGTCCAACTATTACATACGTGTATGAACATTTTCTTATATCAATTGACATTATATTACGAAAAATCTAAACATGAAAAAAACTAACAATTTGCTAAATTATTATGTATAATCAAGGTTGTTTTGGTCAGTTTTTCTTAACATTAATGACTTTTATGCTAAAAATGAAACAATTTGGCACACAGCTTATAAGTCATCATAGATGAGGTAGAAAATAACACATTTTTACCTTAACATCTAGCGAATCAGTCTTCGTAATAAGTACGAGTATTTACCTTAAGCTTATACAACATGGATAAAATGTAGTTTTTTTATGCCACCAACAAATATAAACAGAATGTCAACGATTAGGAACTATATTAAGCATCACAAAAAATATCTACTCGTACTCATCATCATCCGAATTGCAATTTAGGCAAATGAATGATGTGACATCACCTTTGATGCACCCAGCTTGGGCCCAGTCTTTACAAGAGATACATTGTATCCAATCACCACCTGATTGATCTTCATTATATGAGATACCGCAAATAATACAAAAATATTTATCTTCATCAGAATCACTGGTTTCTATTAATATTTTTTTCTTCACCTCCTGAATTTTTTCGTCTTTGCTTATTTTTCTATCTCCCTCTACCTTGCGTTTACCTTTGCCTTGACCCTTTTTTATTTTTTTTGTTCTCTTTATTCTGGTTATTTTCTGTCATTTTCCTTTTTTTTCAGTTCTTTAATATGATGTTCTTCTTCTAAAGCAATTTTTTCTGGTGTATCGGTGAGAATAGCAGATTTTCTGGCTCGTTTACGATTAGATGGAACTCGTGGTGGAGCTTTTGGTAGAGGTCTTACAGTTTCAACCAAAAAAATCATTAACATCTTTCTGTATACCCGATGATCCAGCTATTGGCTCATTAGACATGTGCTCAATTACTTCAGTTACGCTTATATCTAAATAAGGCATATCGTTTAAAATTTCAGGATTTTCTAAATTTAATGACAGATCATCATCATTAACCTCATTCTCAACAGGTGGTTTAGAAATAAGTGACTGATTTTGATTGCTGGGATCTGGACGGTCCGTTACAAAAGATGGCGCAAAATCAGATTCTTGAAAGATATCTTTGTTACATGGCCAAATGCCAGATTTTTTGAATGCGTTGATAACATTCGTAGGATTTAATTCCAACGGTAGGGCTTCCTAAACAATACTAGGAAGATCATAAATGGTCATTGTTTTTCCAGGGTTACTATTCATCCAAGAAGTTTGTGCTTTATTCATATAATTTTTCAGTGGACCATAGACTCCAACATCGAGAGGCTGTAAGTGATGGGAACAATGTGGTGGAAATGACAACAAAACAATGTTGTTGTTCTTGGCCTTGTTAACTACTTCCGCATTTACATGTGAACTGTGGTTGTCTAGCAAGAGTAAGACAGGATCTTCTTTTGACGGCTTTACATGATGAATAAAATGATCAATAAATTTTACAAACTCTTTTTGAGTCATCCAGCCCGATTGGTTTCCAACCCCTATGCATTCTGGTGGTCCATTCCTAACAAATATGTCTTTATAACGAATACGAGGAAAGACAAACATACAGGGTATGGCATTGCCGATAGCATTTGTCGCAACTGTCAGTGTAACTAGTACACCTCTTTCAGCTGATGTTACAGCACCGACCTGCTTGACGCCTTTTCCAGCAACAATCTTCTTCGGCTTTTGAACGGTGGTGATACCTGGCAGAGTGCAAAGATTTTAAAACTGTACACTCTGAAATAAAAATTGACAATATAAAATTGAAATGAAAATAAGAAGACAGGTACCTGTTTCATCTACATTCCAAATCCGGGATGGTTGGAAGCTGTATTTTTCTAGCACGTTTCTGTATTTTTCAAAAAAGTTATGCACATTGGTTCTATTGAATGAAGTAACTCTGCTTAAACTGGTGGCTTCAGGGCTTCGTATCGCCAACCTGGGATTTCTCTTCATAAAATTAGTGAACCAATCATTACCTGCCATCTCATTTACTCGCCAAGATTCTGGTACGTTCTCAACATTGTAAAATTTAGCACATTGATATGATAAACGTTTGACATCTTCAGGTAGTAACCCGAAATAAATATTAGCACACTTTAACAAATACTCTGCTATAATTGCTTCTTGTTCGGCACTAAAAACTAAACGGGTTTTCTTGTAACCCACTGTTGCTGGTGCACCCGCTTTCTTTTTTTTTACAAAGTTGAAGAGTGAAACGTGACAGAGATCAAATTCTTTGGCTACATCTCTGTAATTTCTATTTTTCTCTATCACTTCTCTCGCAGCCAATTCGTAAACTTCTAAGGATTTGGTTCCTCGAGTAGTTTTTCGTTTATACGTTCTCATGCTGTAATAAAATTTAACAAAAAAGAACATAAAATAATCATACTCAGTCGGGTACCTTGTTAATACTTGCCCCCACATCTGGGGTAAGTATAAACATGTTAATACTAGCCCCGTCGATTTGTTAATTTTATCCCCGAAGGTACATTTTTAATTTTTAATAACATAAAAAAAAATGTTTGTTGAAAAATTAATTAATTGAGCTACAGAGCATTATTAACTACGAAATATACTTCTAGGAAAACAAAAAACTAAATCATAATGTCGTATATTTTGAGCATAAATCAAAAAATTGCAAAATAAAAAATGTTCGTTACCTGCGTAATAGAGTGGTCCGTTACACAACTCAGTCGCACGACGCACGGGACACAATTGACTAGTCCCGAATCATGTGGCATGATCCACACGACGTTTTAAAACAAATGCTATCGCTTTAGCATTTATAGTTTTACAGATATTCGCTTGTTAATACTTACCTCTGTTAATTGTAGCCCCGGCCTCCCCTACTATGACAGTTTAAAGAGTAGCGCGCGCTGCGATACTTGCCTTTCCGTGTAGAGTGGATTTCTGTGCCACAACGACAAGATGTTCAACAACAAGATGGCGGACGAAGAAAAAGAAATGACATTGAAGTTAATTGAAGATTACAAAAACTTTCCAAAAATTTGGGATCCAGAGAATCGATGGTTTGCAAGTTTTGGCTACTAAATATAATTTGTATATCGAAGGAGTTAAAAAGTGTAAATGATATAACTCATCGAATCCAACGCCACTCTCTTTTTTGATGGTTTTCTGATGCTATTTAGAAAAATACTTTTTAGCGGAGACTTTTTTACTTTTTTTTTAACTCCAAAAACTTTCGCTTGGTCTTTTTTTCTGGAATTTCTTATGACCAAGTAAGCCACATATATTCTACCAAGTAAAATATTCTCGTCGTACGTGTTTCAACAAGCTGACAGAAACTCAAATGTCTACGTTGGCGTCGCGTTCGTTGACACATTTAATAATTGAATGTTCCAAACGAAATTGTATAGAAAGATGACGACTAGAGTTGAAAATGAAAGGGCATAGCGTGGGCATACCTATAGAGAAACTCCAAAACGCTTATGTCTTTCGCTGTGAAATATTTGTCAAGATTTAGTATTATTTAAAAAAAATGATTTATCACATAAAGGTTATTTGAAAAGTTACTTAGTGCGACAGTATACATTACAATCATGCACAATATGTGCATTGCATGCATTGTACAGTCAGCGTTAAAAGTAAGATAGCAGTCAGAGTGATCAAACATTTTGAAACAATTACAATTTATTTTGTGCTAAGTTTTACTATAAAAACATGTAATATATGTACTTCATATTAAATTATCAATGTTCTAGTAATAGTTCTAGTATAAGTAAGTAAAAGTAAAGTAAAGTATATTTTCAAATCTTTTAGTGTGTTTTCAGTTTTTTTAATGTTTAAAAAAGTCTATCTATTTTCATGCATTTTTCGTTGCATATAAGTAAAACCAATTTTGTAAACTATCCTATAATTTAAAAGTCGTAAAGACTGTCGCATAATTTTGACGTACCTAGTTCAGCTAGCTCTTACATGACAGGTTTTGCTGTTTTTTTGCATTTTTGCAATTGCTGCCACAGCTGAACATAGCACACGCCCTCAGATTGCCTCATGGGCGATATTTGCCATAGTTCCCATGCTTGACAGGCGTGTTGGAAACCGCAGTATTAGTGGATCATCATCATCATCATCATTACAGCCCTTCACAGGTTCACGGCCGACCATAGGCCTTCGCCAAGGAATGCCACAAAGCACGGTCCTTAGCCTGATTCCTACCAGGTCGTAACTTCATCTAGTGGGGGTCACCCTACACTACAGTATGAGGGTACGAGGCTGCCACTCGAGAAAATTTTTTCCCCATCGGTTGTCGATCCTTCGAGCTATATGACCGGCCCGTTGCCACTTCAGCTTACTAATCCGTGATGCTATGTCGGTAACTCTGGTTCTACTGCGGGTATCCTCATTTCTAAGTTTATCACGCAGAGAAACCCTGAGCATAGCCCTCTCCGTAGCTTGCTGAGTGACCTTGAGCGTTATCATACGCCCAGCAGTGAAGGACCATGTCTCAGTTTCATAAGTCATCACTGGCAACACGCACTGGTTGTAAAATCTTATTTTCAGGTTTTAAAGTACAGCTGACGAGAAGATGTGTCGTAATTTCCCGAAAAGCTCGAAGTTGTTGACGAGTACGTTTACCCGGGACAAACAGTCCGACTAGGTAAGTCCAACTTCGACCGAGAGGTCAATCGACGGATTCAACTTGGCTGGGCAGCGTTCGAAAAATTACAACACATCTTCTCGTCAGCTATACCACAAAACCTGAAAACGAGACTGTACACCCAGGGCGTGTTCCCAGTGATGACTTACGGAACTGAGACGTGGTCCTTCACTGCTGGCCATATGAGGACGCTCTAGCTCGCTCAGCGAGCTATGGAGAGGGTTATTTTTGGAGTTTCTCTGCGTGATAAACTTAGAAATGAAGAACCGGAGTGACCAACATAGCCCAACGGATTAGTAGGCTGAAGTGGCAATGGGCCGGCCATATAGCTCGAAGAGTCGACAACCGATGGACAAAAAACATTTTCGAGTGGCAGCCTCGTACCGGTAGGCGAAGTGTAGGGCGACCCTCCACTAAGACATGCAGGAAGTCACGGAACAAACAGGAAGTCGATGATGGATGGAGGATGATAGACAGATGCAGGTGGCTCAGAACTGTGCTTTGTGGCATTCCTTGGGGCGGCCTATATTCAGCAGTGAACTTGTGAAGGACTGTAACGACGATGATGATGAATGCTTGATATTAATAATTAATATTTTGGATTATACTGTGACGGTGGTTGTTTAAAATAAAATTAAACAATCCTTCATCATCACAAGAAAATAAAATTTTATTTGAAAAATATGGTTGTGGGTGTATAGCCCGCCTGATTTTCGCCGACGAAGTCCGGTGCTCCCCTGATGCACTACGTGCCCGAATACCTCAGCCAGAAAAGGGGTTGCAGATGTAGTGAGTCTCGCGGCTGGTCACTAATTTTTCCGGAGCTCATAGGATAAACCTCGAACCCTGGCATGTATGTTCCAGGTATTTAATTCTGATTTTGTTACCTACCTACTGAATGTTACCACCTCAAGCTAAAGCAAGCCAAGTTGAATCCGTCGATTGATCTCTCGGTCGAAGTTGGACTTACCTAGTCGGACTTTTTGTCCCAGGTAAACGTACTCGTCAACAACTTCGAGCTTAGTGCTCCCAACCACTACGGGCATAGGTGTGACATGGACATTATCAATGATTTTTGTTTTGTCCATGTTCATCTTAAGACCTAACCGTTGGGAGGTACTATTGAGGTCATTGAGCATAGCGCTTAAGTCCTCCAGCGATTCTGCCATAAGGATTATATCGTTGGCAAATCGAAGGTGAGTGATGTACTCGCCATGGATGTTTATTCCGTATCCTTTCCAGTCCAGTAGCTTGAAAAAGTCTTCTAATGCAGCAGTGAAGAGTTTCGGGAATATAACGTCCCCTGTTTTACACCTCCCTGCAGTTGGATACGTTTCGTACTCTGGTTCTGTACTTGGATAGCCATCGTAGCCTTACTGTACAAGGACTTCAGTACATTATATGCCGACATTCAATTTAGCACTGCTGAAAGGACTGCAGCACCACCCGAATTTAGACGATATCAAAGGTTATTTCATAGTCTACATACGCCAGGCAAAGTGACACATAATACACTTCGGTATTTTGTGCAATTTGCGGAAGGATATGTATGTGGTCTATGGTACTAAACCTTTTCGAAAACCGGCTTATTCGGGAGGCTGGAAGTCATCGATCCTGCGTGCGAGAAGATTCGTAATGACTCTTGAAAACAGCACATAGACGCGGCTCAGAAGGGAAATCGGTCTGTAGTACTTCAAGAGAGCGTTGTCACATTTTTTGAAGAACAAGACCTACGCACTTCTGATCCACACCGCTGGAGTAGTGCCACCATGAAGGACGGAATTAAAGCGATTTTGAAAGACTTCAAGTACCGGTTCTCCACCCGCTTTCAGAAGCCCCGTTGTATTTCCATTCTCGCCCGGGGTCTTGCCGTTTTTAAGGTGTAGGAGAGCCATTCTAATCTCGCTCAGAGTGACGTCCAGGACATAATCGAACTAGTGTCGGATAAGAATTGCCCCTATCCGACACTCTTCCGATATTCTTGGTGGATATGTAAGCCAAAAACTATAGTATTAATACACAATTTTTATTGATCAGTTTTTAATTGTCACATATTCCTCACTAAATCTTGACTTCAACAAATTCAGTATATCTTTGAGTATGGTTCCGGATTGAAGGGCGCAACTAATCTTGTCCGCAATGTGGAAGATTATGAAGAAGTGGGTGAATAGGTGAGGTAACAACAACAATTCAGGACTCCATTTATAGAAAGCCAGCATCATTCATCATCATTAGAATTTATAACAAATACTGATTTTGTTATATTTAAATCTTTCACAATTAAAACTATATCACGGTAATTTTATCTATACAGTATTCCAACTTCATACAAACGGACGAAGCGAGAGCTATGCCTACGCGCCTCGATCTCGGCATGCGCTCGGTATGCAGACAGTCGTGACTGCCGCAGTGATGATTTTGTGCAATATATTAAAAAAATGGAGGAAATATTCCGAACTTCATTTAAAACCAAACATATTTTTTTTTATTTATATAAATTATAAAGTAGCTGCTGGTATCTATAACCAAGTAAAAGATATTCCTTTTCTCCTTGTCCATGTATCCCAAAACAATTTCTAATTAAGATTTATATTAGAATGCGGTTTTTTTAAACTTAAAAATTTAATAATAAAGCAATTCGTACGTCTCAGCCGAGGTGCAAATATTTTTTGGTCGCAAATTTATAAGACCGATATGTTATTCAAACATAAACATGGTTTTTTAA